TGAGCCTGGGGTGGCGTGTGCTTGTGGGGGGGGGGGGGGTTGTTCAAGGATTTGCCCAAAACTCTATGGTTTAACTTCAGAGGTTTTGTGAATGCTAGAGCACCCCTGAAATCATGGAGTCACTTCTAAATTTTTCCAGAAGTGATGCAAGCACACCAGCATGATGCCAGCGTGCCTGTCCCTGCCCCCCAAATCCCCTGGCGGCCCTAGACCAGAAGTTCAGTATCACACCAATGCTGCAACATCCCTTCTGGAACAAACACAGAAATGACATCACCATGTTGGGGAAATGCTATAGGGGTATCCGGTGAGTCCTAGAGTGTCTCCTGGACAAATTGAGGTCATTTCCCGGTTCATGCCAAAAGTGGATGTTGCAGCATTGGCGTGATGCCAGTTCTCCTCCCATTTTGCTTCTGCTGCTCCCTGGAGCAGCTGCAGAAGCCCCGGGGGTCCAGAACAGGCGGTCTCTGGTGAAGTGGGACCCCTGGCACCACGACACTGAAAACGGCACCCATATTGTGATATCATCATGAACCTTTTCTTGCCACACATTAGTGGTTGCCACTAGGAGGTAGGGAAATATGCATCATAATGACCACAACACATGCTTACATGCTATGGGAGAGACGGGGAGAATTTAATATAGGGTGTTTCCAATGAAAACTTATAGTTCCACCCTAAGACAATATTGCAATATCTTTCTAGGAAAAACAAAAGAAGAAAGGAGGAAATAGGTAAGGAATGAATGAAAACATTTCCTTCTTGCCTTTTCACTAAAGCTTTATGGCCCCATATAAATCATATCTCTCTTTTGAAGTTTATGGGGCAGGAAGTTCCAAATGTGTCCCAAAGATTATACTTATAAATCCATTATCTCTAGGAAGGGTTCTGCCTTTTTTTTCTATTTTAATGTATAATTATGCCACAATATACAAAATATCATGAGGAACTGTCCAGTGCTGAAAACAGACCTGTCATTCAATAAAAAGGTGTATTTTCCCCTCCTGCCTTGACAATTTGTATAACAAAATTACAAACAGCTGTACTGTCCCATGCAAAATCCAGAAGAAGAAGCAAAATCTTAGTAATATCTTTTATTAGGATCTCATTCATTCATTCATTTTATTACGGTCAGAGACCCATTGAATAGCATACAGAACAAAAGCAAAAAGCATTACAGAGAAGAGATATCATGAGGAATATTGAGGAGGAGCTTACGCTTTGTAGATGCAATAAAGAGAAATTTGGCAACATTCCTTGATACTTTTATTAGGATCTAACAAAATGACACAAAACATTGTTCAAGCTTTGGAACTTGTCAGGCAATTGTTTTCTACTTAAGAATACCTGATTTCAGCTGAGAAAGAGAGGGATTTGTCAAAAGGGTGGGAATAACCTGGGGAAAGGCTGCTTGCACAAGGTAATAATGGCCGAATTTGACTTCAGTCTGATATAACTTGTGAACCGTTAGGGTTGCCAGGAACTTCCTGGCCACCAGCAGGGGATGGGGGGGTAGGGTTGCCACATCCAGGTTGGGAAACTCCTGGAGATTTGGGTGTGGCACCCCGGGAGGACAGGGACCTCAGTGGGATACAATGCCATAGAGTCTACCCTCCAAAGCAGCCATTTTCTCCAGGGGAACTGATCTCTGTCGTCTGGATCCCTATGAACGATTGTTAAAATATAGAAGACTACCAAACCCTTCCACATCTGCAGTCAGCCTGCAAAGACAACTGCACTTCTTGCATGTTTTTTTAAATAATATTGGGACCTTGCTGGTCTGTATTTTTTCCGAATGACATAACCCTCCATTGTTTACTTCTTCTTCCCAGAAAGTGCTGTAATCTAACACCTAAAATGATAAACTGTAAGCCTGGCGGCATCTAATACCATTTCATAGGGTTGCCAAGCCACAGCCAGCAATGCCCAGGATGAAATGAGGGGGTGGGGCCTGGTGTGTCAGCGTCACATTGGTGCACTTAGGTCCCGGTCACACGGGCCAGATAACGTGGGGGGGGAGGCGTGGCTGTGTGCCCCAGAGCAAAATAAAGTGCAGTAGCCCAATCACACGGTCCCCCGAGTCTTCGTGCTTAGGCTGTTAGCTGGCGATCACACAGTGATGCTGGAGCATGGCAAAGAAGCGGCGCAGCAAGCGTTTCGTGTTTGTGCACATGTGCAGTTCTGCAGAGCAGCACTGCTTTCAATTACGTGTTTGTGCGCATGCACTTATGAAAACCATCCGGTTTGCGATGGGACGTGGACGGGTGCCGGATGCCACGGGATACTAGTGCTCCTGCGATCAGACGCCCGCCTCTGCCCTGCATTTTCCGGATACTAGTGCACTTTCCGAGGTACTTTTTTACTGCGCATCTTCGGTGGGACGCCACGGGTTGGCCACGGGTGCGCTATGCTTCCCAGATGATGCGGTGTGATCACACACTGAAAATCCGCCTGACATTCGTGCCTTTAGCGTGGCAAATCCTCCGTTTGAACAGGCCCTTAGATCACTTCTGGTATAAACCATAGAGTTTCTGCCAAATGCTAGAGTGTCCACCATGTCACTTCCAGTTTTTATTGAAATTGACATAAGTTGCTGATGTGAGCCGGTACATGTCCTTCCCCTCCCCAACTGTATATCTGGCACTGAGGCAGATAATAATAATATCACTGTACACCAAGACTGGCAAGACTGGGTCTGAAGATCTTGACCTGGAAAATCTGCTTTCCTCCTCTTTCATTTCTTAAGTTTTGCAGCATCTAGCTTGATGAAGAGTCCTTATGAGTTCAAATGCTTGCACAGTGTTTGTGTCATTTTGATTGGCCCTGACAAAAGGCATTTCATTGACGACTTGTATGACATGCATACATTTTATCAAGGCAAATGGAGGCCCACTATCCCCACCCCCCAAAGTTTCAGGCAGGCTGCCTGCTTTTTATTTTATTTTATTGGTAAGGACTGCGAGGATGTTTATGGGTGGATCTTTCACCTTTTCAAACCCTGAAAATATTTCAAAAAAGTAGTTGCAAAACTGTTCCAGGATTTGAGGGGGCAGGGTGTCTTGATGACATTACTGGTACTAGCCAATCACCATCCTCAAGTCCGCTGCAGATCTAGATGGTTCAGAGCTTGACCTTGCAAAAGAGAAAATGCATTTGACACTGAACATGCTGAGGGCACTTTCAGAGCAGTCCCACTACTCTACCTTCACTCAACACGCTTTTCAAATTCTGCACCACTGCCAGGCATGTCGCTTTGTTCCTAGATCACCATACCTTCTTTTAACTTGTGTTTTTTTTTTAATTCCACTCATCATGATCTTGTGACCCCAAGATCATCCTTCCCTGAGAAATCCAGCTGAAGTTCACTTGCAACAGAATGAGGAGCTACCGGAAATGGAGAGTTTGGAGGAGGTAAAGAGTGGCTGAACCATTCCTGGGGCGGGGGAGATCATGGCAAAGGTGAGAGAGAATCTCCTTTTCAGTCTCTTTTTTATCCCATTAATGTTGCTTTCTCCTTCCAGACAACTGCCTCCCTTCATTACGTTCAGCTGCAGCTTCCTCCAGGAAAATCCCCCGCCATTCGCAATCCGGACAGCACCACCGTTTATACAGCAATTGTCTGATGCTGCTTCCGTCTCCCACCTGGGCACAAAGATCCAGCAATCATCTCTCGATTCACCGACGAAATTTTCTATGACCGCTTTCCTCACTTCCCTCTGTGCCTCTGTAGTTGACATGTCTCCTCAGCTTCTTCAACTGTACCATCTACAGCCACCCCAAAATGGCCAATCACCTCCTTCAGCTGCCTTCCTTGAAGCCACCCCTTGAGTCCACATCCTGAACCACAACTAGGCCTGGGCATGTTTTTGCTGCATTCCTCCATATCCATCTCTCCTGGGGCTCTTTCTTTTCTTTATCTCCTCCCTCCCTTTATGCCATAACGTGCCATGTATACTGAGGAAAATGTAGAAATAATATTGTAATAAATTCAAAGTGTCCGCAGCTTGGGTTTTTGTTGTTCCTTATTGTTTACATGATTTTTATTGTGGTGGCATTTTGGTTATGCGTATAGTCAGGAAGGAGGTTGTATGTCACTTCATTACTTTTTTTCTTTCTTATGTATGTTATTTATAGGCCACTTTTCTCATAGAGACTCAAGGCAGATTACCAAGAGTGAGTCAGTGCAATCAGCAAAATGGAACATTCAATAAACAATGAAGAAGAGGAGGAGGAGGAGGAGGAGGAGATTGGATTTATACCCCGCCCTTCACTACCCAAAGGAGTCTCAGAGCGGTTTACAAACTCCTTTCCCTTCAGTTTGGTGTAGTGGTTAAGTGCGCAGACTCTAATCTGGGAGAACTGGGTTTGATTCCCCACTCCTCCACTTGCACCTGGCTGGATGAACCTGGGCAAGCCATCGTTCTGATAATAGCTGTTCTTGAAAAAGAGCAGCTTCTGTCAAGAGCTCTCTCAGCCCCACCCACCTTACAGGGTGTCTGTTGTGGGGAGAGAACTATGGCTTGCCCAAGGTCATCCAGCAGCTGCAAGTGGAGGAGTGGGGAATCAAACCCGGTTCTCCCAGATTAGAGTTCGCACACTTAACCACTACACCAAACTAGGACTGCAGAAGTCTGGAACCACCAGAAACAGAAGCAGACCATAAGTATTAACATGACACATTAGGTCTCCTCGTTGCTCCAGTGGGGGGGATTGGGGGGCATTCCAGGGGGGGTGGGGACACCCCAAGCCCTACCCCCAAACCGCAGCCACCCACGGCCACCCCTCTCCCTCCCTTCCCGTAGAGATTTAAGGGGCTTCAGCTGATCCGCGGGGAGCATGTGACCTGCCAATCAGCTGGAGGGCCCTTTAAGTCCTTCAGCAAGGAGGGAGAGGGGCTGTCACATGCTGCAGCTCCGCTAGCAAAAAGACCATTTAAAGCCGGTTGGTGGTGGTTTGGAGGCCCCAGAAGCGGGGAAATCCCTGCCCAGACATGGGGGCTGGCAACCCTCTGACGCATTAAGTGGCACAAAAAATACATAATGGGATCCTACTTACAGTAAGCTATACACAACAGGTCTCTAATCACGTATCCAAGTAAATTTGTGAACCATTTTGTACGGAGCTACCCTATTGCCTGTGCGGAAAAGCCCACTTGAAGAGTCCGGCTTTGCATGCTTTGCCGAAGGCCAGGATCTGGGGAGCCTTCCTGACCTCCTCAGGCAGGCCATTTCAAAAGGTGGGGGGGCACAACGGAGAAGCCAGGTGTACAGGGCAGTTGTTGATTTTGCCCATTTGCAGGTTGGCACCTGCAGGAGGCCCTGGTGACCCCCTGAGCAGAGTTGCTGTGGTGGAGCATACGGGACTTCTGTGCCTCACATGTGTCAGTTCTATATTTTGTATTCTACTAAACTTTTCCTTTCAGCCTCCTTTCCTTGTTTGCTTTCTCTTAATCTCATGACATTCACCCCAGTAGGTTTGCTAGCTCTGGGTTGGAAAATACCTGGAGATTTTGGGGGTGGAGCCTGTGGAGGGCGGAGTTTGGGGAGGGGTGGGGACCTCAGCAGGTACAGTGCCACAGAGCCCGCCCTCCAAAGCAGCCATTTTCTCCAGGGGAACTGAACTCTGTTATCTGGAGATCAGGTGTAATACCAGGAGATCTCCCGGGCCCACCTGGAGGTTGGCTGCCCTACAGCCCAATGTTCCCTTCCTACTTCAGGCTCATCTTTCTTTGACAGGATATCAGGTTTTCTTCCATCTCAATTAAGAGCCTAGAAGGTTAAATGAATCCAAACTTAGAGGGCCCAGTATGCTGACGACACAACCCTTTTAGATGGGTTTTAAACAAGGTTTAGATGGGTATACTGAATAGAATATCAAGAATATTATTAATGTTAAATAGTTTGTATTGTTTGGGATTCTCTGTATCAATTGTTTTATATTTACTTAATAAAAATAATTTCTTAATTTTTAAAAAAAACCATAATATGGACTTCTAAATATTACAGTAGACAATACTCTGTCAGTCCAAATAGCCAATACCAAGTTTCCTTTAGGTAGTTTAACATACTTACACAGAACTGGCCCAGTAGACCATAGGTAGGGTTGCCAGTTCTAGGTTGGGAAATACCTGGGGATTTGGGGGATGCAGCCCGAGGGACTTCAATGGAATATTATGCCATAGAGTCCACCTTCCAGATAGAGTATAACACCATAGAGTCCACCGTCCAAACCAGCCATTTTCTCCAGGTGAATTAATCTCTGTTGCCTGGAGATCAGTTGTAATAGCTGCCAACTAGCTAGGCTTCCATGGCAACCAGTGGGCAGAGTCACAGTAATGCTGGGCTAGGGTTGCCAGCTCTGGGTTGGGAAATATCTGGAGATTTGGGGGAGTGGAGCCTGGAAGGGGAGGGACCTCATCAGGATATGATGCCATAGATAGAATCCGTCCTCCAAAAGCAGCCATTTTCTCCAAGGGAACTGATCTTGGTCACCTGGAGAACAATTGTAATAGCAGGAGATCTCCAGGTGCCACCTGGAGGCTGGCAACCCTGTGACCAGTGTTCCCTCTAAGCTGAGTTAGTGTGAGCTAGCTCACAGGGGGGGGGTTTGCCTCCGGTTCACGCATTTTTGCCTTAGCTCAGGAAGGATGGCTCCAGAGCAAACTAATTGATGCAGTTGCCAAATCGCTCGCTCACAACTTTAAGGCCAGTAGCTCACAAAGTAGAATCTTTGCACACAAGACAATACTTAGAGGGAGCATTGCCTGTGACTGGGCCCAGCCACTTCCTTTTTACTCACTCATGGTATACAGATCACTGACTGAGGCTGAAAAGTCCCCGACAGCACAGTGGCTTTTTCTAAAGGAGAAGTACAGGAAGCGTGTGGGCAGCGGCAAAGTGTGTGAGCCTATCAGTTTCCCCTCAGTCCTTCTTAAAATTAGCCATAAGGACATTTCCTGCAGCTAAACAGGGCTTCACCTTGCCACAAGAAAGTCCTTGGGGGCCCATTCTGACGTGGTCACTCAGCGCCAGTCAGCATTTCATCACTTCTGTGTGTCAAAACAAGTGCTGGGGGTTGCCAGGTCCCCTCTGGTCACCGGCACAAGATGAGGGGACAGGGCTGCCACCAGTGTACCCTCTAAGCTGAGTGAGTGTGAGCTAGCTCACAGTTTCTTAGCCTCCAGCTCACAGATTTTTATCTTAGCTCAGGAAGGAAGGCTCCAGAGCAGACTAATTTAGGCAGTGGCCAAATCGCTCGCTTACAACTTTAGTGCCAGTCGCTCCCAAAGCAGAATGTCTGCTCACAAGACTCCACAGTGGTTGCCACTCCAGGTTGGGAAACGCCTGGAGATTTGGAGATTGAGCCTGAGGAGGGGAGGGACCTCAGTGGGGTCCAATGCCATAGACGCCACCCTCCAAAGTATCCCTTTTCTCCAGGGGAGCTGAGCTCTGTAGTCTGGCTGGAGATGAGCTGTAATTCCAGGGGATCCCCAGGTCCCACCTGGAGGCTGGCTTCCCTATTCACAATGGACGAGAAATGCAACAATGTGCATTCTGTTTTTTTGGAACAATTTATGCTCAACTTTTTTTGTTTATTTATTTACTTCATTTGTGTGCTGCCTTTTTCCTCGGTGGGGACGCAAAGCGGCTTATGTTTGTCTCCTTTCCTACATTCTATCCTCACGACAACCCTGTGCAGTAGGTTAAACTGCAAGGTTGTGGACTGGCCCAGGGTCACCCTTCGGGCCATGTTGTACGTTTGCCAGCGACCTCTGTTGCATCCAAAATCCCTCCCACCAATATATGCCAAACTGGTTAGGTTTGCTAGGGCATGTAGTTATGTCTTCATTAAAAACACACACACATTTTCTTCACGGTACATCCTTCTCCTGAGGTACTCAAAGCACTTTCAGTGCCAAAAGGCCTTCACATATATTATCTCATTAATTATTGCAACAGTGCTATAGTGTGGTCTTAGAATCCTGGAATCAGAGAGTTGGAAGGGGCGATACAGGCCATCTAGTCCAACAGCTCCCTGCTCGATGCAGGATCAGCCTGGAGCATCGCTGGCAAGTGTTTGTCCAGCCATTGCTTAAAGACTGCCATTGAAGGGAAGCTCACCACCTCCCTAGGCAGCTGATTCCACAATTGCACAAGCATCAGGGTCTTCTCCAGTGAGTGCTCCCTTCTCATTTGGTGGCCAAAGTATTTGAGCTTCACTTTCATTATCTGGCCTTCCAGGGAACAGTCAGGGTTGATTTCTTTTAGGATTGACTGATTTGATCTTCCTGCAGTCCAAGGGACTCTTAAGTGACAGCCCTTCAAATACTTCAAGAGAGCCATCATATCAGCCCTGAACCTCCTCTTCTCCAGACTCAACATTCCCAAGTCCCTCAGCCTTTCCTCATAGGGCTTGGTCTCCAGGCCCCCGATCATCCTCGTTGCTCTCCTCTGCACCTGCTCCATTCTGTCCACATCCATTTTGAAGTGAAGCCTTCAGAAGTGCACACAATACTCCAGGCACAGCGGGACTAGGACATCTTGCGATTTGGATATGTGTGTGTGTGTCTGTAGCAATCCTAATAATATACATAGTCCTGAGCATGTCCCCATAGTGCCAATCAAAGAAGCAACAGTTCTCCAGGATCCCAGGAGGAGGGCTTTCATATCACCTGCCACTAGGTTTGCCAACCTCCAGGTGGTGACAGGAAATCTCCGGCTATTACAACTGATCTCCAGGTAACAGAGATCAATTCACTTGGAGAAAATGGCCGCTTTGGAAGGTGGACTCTATGGAATTATGCCCCTTTGATATCTGCCCCTTCCCCAAATCCCGACCTCCTCGGGCTCCATCCCCAACATCTCCAGGGATTTCCCAACCCAGAGTTGGCAACCCCACCTGCTACCGGATTCTTTTAGCTGGAGATTCAGAGCTCAAACCTTGGACCTTCTATGCACTCAGCGTATGTTCTGCCATTGATCCATCGCCTTTCCCC